CTAATATGGGGCGTAGGAAAAAGTTGATTTGGTGAAGAGGACAATGTAGGTGTTGAAGATGGCTGATTAGGCAAAGAAAGGGAAGGGGATACAATAGGGTCTATAGTTTGGACAGTAGATAACTCATCACCATAAGAAAAAAACTGGACAAAATCTAACTAAGGAAATCATTATCAAGATGAAAATGAGGCTGAGAAGATGTTGACCAAGTAAAAGGGAAAATGGTTTCATAGAAAATGACATCCCTTGTTACAGTAATACAAGGAGCAGACCTAGGGGACAATTTATCCTTAAAAGTAAGAATGGTGGAATATGCCAAGGAACCAAATAACTTCAAGTGATCTAAAGGAGGAACTTTACCAAAAAAATTCTCAAATAGAGATAGACCCTTAAGGATAGAAGTAGGAAATCCATTAATAAGGTAGACTGCCATTTGTACACATTATCCCCAATGATGAGTAGGTAAGTTAGACTGAAATTTCAAGGCTCTAGCTACTTCAAGAATGTGTCTATGCTTCCTCTCAACAATACCATTTTGTTGAGGAGAGTAAGCACAAGAACTTTGATGAATAATACCTAGGCTACTAAACAAGTCATGACAATCTTTGTTGAAAAATTCAAGTCCATTATCGGTCCAAATGCACTTTAGAGTGAGATGATATTGAGTGTAAACCATTTTGAAAAATTGTTTTATGGTGGTTAAAGAACTAGATTTAAATTGCATAAGAAATAATCATGTAATCCTAGAACAATCATCTACTGTGGTAAGAAAATACCTAGCATTGCCATGAGTATGTGTCTTATAGGGACCCCAAACATCCATGTGGAAAAGACCAAAAATATTATGGGAATAAGAACTACTATGAAGAAAAGGTTTCCTAGTTTGTTTGGCTAATGGACAGACATGGCATTGTAGAGGATTAGACACAGTCAAATCATGATGCATAAGCTGCAAAATTGGGTAAGGAACATGGCCCAATCTTTGAAAACATAACTCAGAGTTAAGAGACAAATTTTTAGACATAAAATTAACAGTAGAAACAGGTTTTTTATTGAATTGTAAAACAGGAGAACAAGGAGTAGTACAAACAGCTTTATTGAGCATTTCTACAATAGACAAATTCGATAAAATTTTTGAATTTGGATCAAGATAATACAGGCCTTGGCAATGCCTACCAATCCCCTTCAATTTGTCATTGCAAAGATCCTGGAATAAACAAAAATCATGATAAAAAACAATAAAGTAATTGTTAGAGATAGTGAGTTTGGAAACAGAAAGCAGATTATGCTTAAAATTTGGGACATGTAACACCTTAGATAGATTAATACCATTGTCCAAATCAATAGAACCTATATGTTTAATATAAGTTTGTGTGCCATTTGGTAATCCTACAAGGGAATTTGAAGATGGTTCTATGGTAGTACATATGAGATTTCATAATTGTATAATTAGAGGTCATGTGGTCAATGGCTCATGTACCTATGATCCAGCTTTTGCTATCCAAGCAAGGAATTAAAGCAAAATTACCTACTAGATTAGTAGCTGGTGGAGTCACATTTTCCTTTCCCAGCAATTGAAGAATCTGGTTGTACTGCTCGGTGGTCAATACTGGACCAATTGTTGTGCTAGAGTTTCCAAAATTTCCCACATCCATCTAAACTTCAGGAGCTGAGTTTTGAACTTGCACTTGATTAATAGAGACTATTCTGATACCAAGTGTCACGACCCGATTGTTTTCCCTTCGGACTCGTGCGGCCTTAGGTGCTAATCTCCCGACGATTGCCCTAAGTCAGCCTTTCTTGCTCACGCTCCTAGCCCTGCAAGTAAGAAAACACTCACACAAACTCACAAGAGATGCTAGAAGAGGATTCTTTACTAATTGAGAGAACTTTACAATTCTTGGATGGTTTGGCCATATGAAGGCCTCCCCCTTTTATAGTAGTTGGAGTATACAATGAACGGTCTAGATCTCTTGAGATCAACGGTGGAGATTAGCTAACTCCAAACTACCACCTACAAACTACTATCTAACAACTACCACATTAATTACTATTCTAGCATATACAAGAGTATTTCGGAAGCTTCTAGATTGTCCGGGTGACGCACACCAAGTGTTTGATGAAATGCTTGAGAGGCGTCACATTCTCCCCCACCTAATCCGGAGACGTCCTCGTCGACTCTTCGTGGAATTCTCGGACTTTGTCTTTGAATTGCCATAATGCACTCTCGAGTTCCCAACTAGCTTCACTCTTCGGTAGCCCTTTCCATTTGACAAAGTATTCCCAACTTGGAGGGTAGCCTTTCTATCGAACGACGCGATCGGCTAACACACATTCCACCTCCTTGTCATAGAACTTGGTGTTACCAAACGGTATCCGCTTTGGTTCTCCTTTTCCCGGATCTTTCGTATCTTCGTGGTACGGCTTTAAACAACTCACATGGAAGACCGGATGAAGTCTCAACCAAGAAGGTAGCTCAAGCTTGTAAGACACATTACCGACCCTCTTGATTATGGGAAATGGCCCCTCGTATCTTCGGACAAGGGCTTTTTGTAGTGGCCGGGTGGACTTGTGTTGTGACGGAAGGATCTTGACAAGTACTAAATCCCCCACGTTGTACTCTACATGCCTTCGTTTCTTGTCCGCCCATTTCTTCATTTTCTTAGTTGCTTTGTCGAGATACACCCGTGTGATGTCGACTTGCTCATGCCATGACTTAGCAACTTTGAATGCCGCAGGGCTGCTCCCCTTATAACTTGTACCCAAAGTGTGCGGCGTGAGTGGCTGTTGACCCATTACTACCTCGAACGGGCTTTTGTTGGTGGCTTCACTTCTCTATAAGTTGTATGAAAATTGGGCTACGTCAAGCAACTTTGCCCAATCAAGTTGGTTGGTGCTCACAAAGTGCCGTAGATAAATCTCTAACAAAGCATTCACTCTCTCGGTCTGCCCATCAGTTTGAGGGTGAAAGCTTGTAGAAAAGTGTAACGCCGACCCCATGAGCTTGAACAATTCGGTCCAAAATCTCCGGGTGAACCGACTGTCTCGGTCGCTTATGATGGACTTCGGAAGACCCCAATACTTCACAACATGCTTGAAAAGGAGCTTGGCCGTGTCTACCGCTGTACATTCCTTCGGTACGGGGATGAAGGTAGCATACTTTGATAACCTGTCCACCACAACAATAATGGTAGTAAACCTCTCGGATTTCAGTAGGCACACTATGAAATCCATTGAGATGCTCTCCCATGGTCAACTCGGTGTAGGCAAAGGTTCCAGTAATCCTGCGGGGCTTTGGTGTTCCACTTTATCTTGTTGGCATACAAGACAAGTTCTTACAAACTGCTCCATATCGTCCCGCATTTGTGGCCAATAATAAGCTGCTTCCAACAATGCTTGGGTGCGCCTTTGTCCGGGATGTCCGGCCCATTTGGTGTCATGACACTCCTTGATTAAGTTCCCCCGCAAATTTCCCCACTTTGGAACATACACCCTTCTCCCTTTGGTGTACAGGAGGCCATCTTCTACCCCTTGCCCTTTGTGAATTAGTAATCTGCTGGACATCAATTTAACTTGTAGCATGTCTCACGTTTATGGCCAAGTACATGATAGAAATCACACTTAATGTATGGCTTCTTCCCTTTGTATTTATTTCTTTGATTCTTATTTTTACCATTGTTATGAGCATAGAGGGCAATGGTCACTTCAAAGTTGGTATTTATCCCCATTAGTATCCTTTGACTCTCATCTTAATTAACCATTGAATATGCTTGCTTAACAGTTGGTGGAGGGTTCATTATCAATATTTGGCTTCGAACCATTGCATATAAGTCATTCAATCCAATTAGAAACTGCAACGAATTTTGCTAATTAAGATGCTCCAAGTAAGCTCTTGTTGATGTGCTATCTGGAACAGGCAAACTGACCAAAGAATCCAACTCATCCCACAATGACTTGAGCTTGTTATAATAGTTTGCCACCGTAGTTGTTCCTTGTGTGAGATTAACAATTTCTCGGTGGATTCCAAAAACTTGAGTTCCATTTACCTTGTGATATTGTTCCTTAAGATCTTGGCATACTTGTGAAGCACTGGTAGAGTAAACAATACTGTTGAAAATCTCTTTCGAAACAAAGTTAAAAATCCACGCAAGAACCAACGAATTGCACCTCTCCCACTGTGAAATCAAACGAGAATGAACCGATGACTTTGTGCATGTTCCATCCACAAACCCTAATTGGTTCTTCGCACAGAGAGAAATTGTCATTACTTGACTCCAAATTCCATAATTCTTGGTCCCTATCAGTTGCTCAGACACTAGAACTGACATAGTGTGTCTGAAGGATGAACGTAAAGTGGTGAATTAGAATCAATGGAAGGAACAACTGATTTTTCTGTTGAGGTTGTCATAACAATCAATTTAGATTTTTCAAAGAAAACTGAGCTGAGAAAGATCTAAAATCGAAGCTGAATTTGAAGAAATTGACAAGATTTGAGCTTCTTTGAGCTTAACAAGAAGAAAAGCAAGAGTTTAATTGATCTGATATCGGATCGAATTTGTGAATTTCCCATGCTCTGATACCATGTTGAAGAAGATGAAGTAAGGATAATAGAAGTGAATTTGGGGAAAATGAGTTCATCGACCCTTTCATTAATCAACAACTAATTTTATATTACAATAACTAATAAACTAACTAGAGTTAATAGACTAACTCCAGTCAATCTAACAAACACAATTAACTCAACTCAACAACTAAACTAACTAATTAACCAGCTCATTAACTATACAAACTGAACTGATACTATATTGCCAATAATAACTTCTGCATATTTGAAATGCTGATATTCATACCCATTTTTCTTCCCCACCGATCTGTTAAAATTTCCTGCATCTATTTGAATTTACACATAATTGCAGTTTTGATTTTTGCTATAGTCCTTTAATTAGAAATTCACATTAATGTGCAATTATCATAAGGTAATTGAGGATATTACCCAAAAAATGGGTGCAGGGATGGCAAAATTTATTGCAAGGAGGTTTGTGAATCGTGTAACTTGCTAGATTCTAATTAAATGCTTGATATTCCACTGTTCTAATATATTAAAAATTTATTTGCAAGGAGGTTCGTGAATCATGTAATCATGTAACCTGTATCTATTGTTCTAAGATATAGTAATAACCTATATATGATGGTAGAGATGAGCTCCTTAAGCTAATTACAGAAAAAGCAGATAGACCAAATGTATATCACAGCAATAAATTTTATCCTCATCTTGTAGGTTGAAACAATTGATGACTATGATGAATATTGCCACTATGTCGCTGGACTTGTTAGATCAGGCTTATTAAAGCTTTTCCATGCCTCTGGGAAGGAAGATATGGCTCCAGAAGATCTTTCCAATTCAATGGGTGTATTTCTTCAGGTATTCATTATATGGAGCAACAAGGTGTTTTTTTACCAGCCTCAACTTTTGATTTGAAATACTAAAGCTTGACCATATAGATCTACAATGACAGAAAGCAAATATCATTTGAGATTATCCGGAGGATATTAATGAAACACCAAAGCCGCGGATGTTTTGGCCTTATGAGATCTGGAATAAATATGTCAACAAACTAAAGGTTTATTCTCTATTACATGTTTTATCTCTTTTTTTTGTTTCATTTTTCATGTCTAATTGACTTTCTTAAAATGATTTTTGCAACCTCAGGACTTGAAGTATGACGAAAACTCTGTCAAGGCAGTAGAATGCTTGAATGACATGGTTACCAATGCTTTGGCAAATGTGGAAGATTGTTTTAAATACATGTCTGTTTTACGAGATCCTGCTTTTTTCCGATTTTATTGGGTTTCAATTGACAATATATATATGTGTGTATGTACTTTAAATCAAATGAAGTCAAATATTTAAAGGTATTTTTTATCTTTTCAATCAAATAGTAATGGAAAACACTAATGGAACACAACGGAGGATGGGAAAGTGTCATTTTTAAATTTGATGGGTGCAAAGGCGTCATTTCACCAAACCATGGGTGGGAAAATGTTGTTCTCCCTTTAGAATATGTGATAAAATGATACATTTAACATTTCTATTATTGAGTTACACTATTATAACACCAAATTTTGAAATTCTTAATCTTTAATTAAATATAATACTGTAGACTTGTGGGATAGGTTCGAGATAGTTATTTTCCATGCCAATTAAGCAATATTTGAGTCACTAGATTACCTAGAATTAATAATATCAAGAATGATATCAAGAGTTTCGTTTAATAGATGGTTTTACAATATATTAGGCCCATTTTCTTTGTGTCCAAAAATGAAAATTATTTATTGTAGAAATTATATATAACCCATACTCAGGGTGGAACTAGCCCCAAGCTCACCTGGCTGTAGCCCGGTTGAAATTTTGAAAATAAAATAAATTATTTATTATTGTTGATATTATTGGTATAAATTAATAGTTTATTATATGCTATTCAACTTAATTCTAATTGAAAAATCTCTCAATTGTAATGAATAATTTTAACTTTGAGTTAATCACTTTTCTTCGAACATAAATGAGTGTCAAGATTAATTACAATCTATGACAACAAAAGAAAAGGATATTCCAACATTATTATTGAAATTCATCATTTATTTTTTTTTTTTCATTTTTTGTATAATTTTGAATTAAAAATAACTTTATTTCTCTCCTTAACAAGATTAAAAAGAAGATCAGTTTATCATATAACTACTTTTTTTTTTTGTATTTTCTTCATTTTTAAAATGAAATATACACTTTGAATGATAAAATCTATTACATTAAATAATAAATGTTTTATTATTACAATTCAAGTTTATCATCAACGCATATGTAGTTAAATTAATAAATAAGAAATAGTGGGAGTTAAATACAAATATACTTTTTTTATTAAATGTGTGTATGAAAGTCGTATTTAAAATTTGAAAAATGATATCCTTACAAAGACCCATAAAAAGAGGGCTACAAAGTGATATCATCCAGAAAAAAAAAAAAAATGGAAAAAGAGAAAGAGAAAGAGAAAAAAATCATGAAAATCAAGAGTGAAGATTATCTTTGTATAACCCTTTTATATATGTCTTTATAAAATTAGCATTGCTTTTAAAATTTCTGTGTCTATTATCTATATGCCCTTTTTACTAGGCTAACAACTAAAATGGACCGTAAAGCCCAAGTGACTCCTAATAAAGCATCTCACAAATACTATTTTTGCGGCTCTTTTGCGCTGGTGCTGCTGTTTGTTCTGGCTCTTTTTGGCTATGCTTTGGCTCCCCTTGCTCTCTGATTTGCTTTGGTAGTGAGCTGTTTGTAAAGGATTGTACATCCTTGTCTTCTCCTTCTTTTTGTGCTTCTTTTCCTCCCGAGTTGTAGAGCTAGGGGTTTTTTTTTCTTGTTTAGGTGTCATTCTTTATTCGTTATAAAATTATTATTTACCCAAAAAAAAACCCGTTTTTTCCAATTGAGCTAATTTTTTTTTTTAATGGAATTATGCCATAACTCTATTATTTTGAGTTGTATTTAATATATATTTAGATCTTATTTATTTTGAAATTCATGAAAAAAAAATCCCTGTAAAAACATATAAATTGTCATAAAATTCATTTGGTTTTTCATAGAATTTCTAAGAAACCTTTCCTCTACAAAACTCTTTAACTCTTGTTTCAAGAGTAATATTTCACATTCTAAATTGCACCAAAATTTTCATTTCAAGTGACATGTTGGATGTTCCACGAACGTGTAAATGATAAGTTGATGTAAGTGACTGATATACTAATATTATATAGGATGATGTCCCTTGAAATGTTATTTTAATTGTATGACTCATTTTTCAAAGGTTTTATACTCCAATCTTTAAATTATAGGTAGATCTATAACTAAGGTCTAGACATAGGTCAAACCTTGGATGAAAAAGAATGTTTTTACTTATTTAATTTATTTAGGCAAATAGTATGAACTATAAAAGGAAGCCCATGATGAAAAGTCTTGGCCCAAAAAATATTAGGAAATGGTCTTTGGCTTTCCCTTTCAATTGATTTTCTGAATCTTGTACAAAACCAAATTATCTGCAAAAAGTTCCCAAAATTGAGCAGAAAATTGAGTCAGACTGATGAAGCACTAGTTACATCAACTGAAAGTAGCAAGTCTAGCAGTTTAGAGCTTTCACTTTAAAGTATTTAGAAATAGAGATGAGCTCATAATTCAATCTTACATACTTTCTTTCACAACTTCGATATAACAGTTTACAATTAGTCAGTTCGCAATTAAGCAGACGAAACCCATTACGAGCAGAACAATTACGAGTTATCATGTTGGGATTGTAAAAAAAAATTTATGAGATTGGGTTGTAAATATAATATTACTCATTATTTAGTACAAATACTTGTGAATAAGAATCACATCATGTGTAAAATTGGGTCAATAAATGATGTAATGGGCTTCAAAAAAAAAAAAAAAAAAAAGGTATTTCTAGAAACATGTAGGATACCACTCCCCTAAATATGAAAATGGGAATCTCGTGATTGAGCTACAGCGCAGACAATTTTATGGAAAGAAAACCCATTCTCAAGGCCCCATGTCTCTTTTATCATGGTTTTAGAAATTTTTACACTTTGCAACTTGTCTTATGGGCCAATCTCCACTTTGGGAAAATGTTAAATTAACTATTATGGTATCGGATTAGTAATATTTATTATTTCGAAAATGCTAGTTGGATCAATTAATTCGAATCAAATAGGGATATATTTAAATTTTCATAGGGTGATTCATGTATAAAAAGACTTAATTTTCCTTGGTGAATTAAGAAGTAAAAAAGTGATTTAATGGTGAGATAGATAATGAAATGACATCATTCTCTCTCTCTCTCTCTCTCTCTCTCTCTCTCTCTCTCTCTCTCTCTCTCTCTCTCTCTCTCTCTCTCTCTCTCGTCATTAAGTCTACAAATCAAATTCCAATGAGATATTTTCAAAATCTTGGATTTGTTATAAAATATTGAATTTGTTACCAAAAAGATTTAAATGTTATGATAAATTTATCTGAAATAAGTTTGAAATTTCCTTTTTACTGCAGCACAAACTACCTTCCTTTTATTTATCAATTAAATTCACCAACATAATTGAGTTTATTTTTACTTTCTTTTGAACTCTAAGAGCAACGATGCTTTTGTTATTTATTATATATAATTAAAATAAATTGCATTACGCAACATATATCATTGGATTGAAAAAGATAATGTCAGGTAGAAAATCTGATACAAAGATGAAATTGAATTAATTAGCCAATACTTCAACTGAAATTTGTTAAAAACATGTGCCTTTAAAAATCTTATAGAATTATCTCATTCGAATCTCTTCTAATGTATTATAGGAACAAATGTGTATAATGTGTGAGGCTATCTTATGATTTTTTTTTTTTTTTTTTTTTTTAATTTCTCTCAACTGTACCAAGCTTGTAATATAAGATCCTCTCATATTTTTATTTATTCTTTGATAATAATTGATTTATTTATTCTTTGAAATACATTGATGCCAATTACGAAGACTATTAATCAATGAAGAAATATATAATTTAAAGAAAAAATAGAAAATTAGTAGGCAGAATGAAAGTTTAAAAAATTATAATAGATTACGACATTACATCTAGATTTATAAACAATATTTTCACTTTTTAAAACTTTAAATGTAATACTTGCCCATTAATTGGTAAGAATTTATATATAGTAAGTACTAATTAGTAAGAAAAGAAAATATATATACATATACATATTACATCTCCAATTATCTCTTCTATCATATGTAACTTAATTAAACAATCTTAAATTCAAGTAATTATTTGAAAGATGTTACATAATCTATGTATTTAAATTTTAAAGCCCGATGAAAATTTGACTTTGAAATTCAACGTATATAAAATTTATTTAACATTATGTGACTTACTATATATGTATGACATGTATATAGTATTGGCTTACTATATATGTATATAATAGGTCATATATATAGTGTACCATACATATGCATGCCATATATATAGTATATTGTATATATCTTTACATGTTGTATTTCACATGTCATATATGTCATATATATAGTGTACTATATATATATATATATATATACACAAATTTATCTTTACATGTCATAAATATAGTGTACCATATATCTATATATGTATATAATAGGTCATATATATAGTGTACCATACATATGCATGCCATATATATATATAGTATATTGTATATATCTTTACATGTTGTATTTCACATGTCATATATATAGTGTACTATATATATATACACATTTATCTTTACATGTCATAAATATAGTGTACCATATATATATATGTGTGTGTGTGTGTGTGTGTGTGTGTGTGTGTGATAAATGCATTAAAAGTATTGACGTACGATATATCTTTACATGTTATATATATCTCTACATGCCATATATATTTGTGATAAATATGGCATATAGTATTGACTTACTATGTGATTTTTTATATAGTGTACCTTATATATACATGTCATATATATAGTGTACATATATACCTTTATCTTTACATGTTGTATTTCACATTTTAGAAACATGTTGCATATACTATGTGATTTTGTATATAGTGTACCATATGTAGCATTGAGTAGGACTGTAAACGAGCCGAGCCGAGCCGAGTTTTGGCTTATCGAGCTCGGCTTGTTTACTACAGTGTCGAGCTCGAGTTCGAGCTCGAGCCTAGCTAGCCTCAGAATTGAGACTCGAACTCGAGCTCGATCAAGTTTGAGGCGAGCTCGAGCCGACTCGAACTCCAGCTCGCGAGCCTGATATCGAGCTCGAGCT